GGCGGGTGGGTGCCGAAGGAAGGCTCTCCTCTCGCCCAAGTGCTGGGGGATGAAAGGGGTCCCGAGACTAGGGGATCGTTGAGACTGTGGGGCTCGGGGGCCTCGAGCCCAAGCAGGTTCCTTGAAGGCTGTGTTGCGTCATTGCTCAGACTGTGACTGGAAATCGAGGGGAGTCACTTCTGCTCGTTTGCTGAAGTTAGTACGAAAAAAGACAAATGGGAGAAAAGAGTTTTGCCGGGGTTGGTCAGCAGAGAAACTTAGGTGGGAAACCATAAAAAACGGTATGAGAAACGTGTGGTTCTTTTTAGATGGCTGTAAGTGGCCTGTGCGGATGTTTACCTTAGGAAGTTTAACATCTGTGTATGCTAGCCTTTCAGTGTGTGTTTCAGTACAGAATACAGCCATTTTGCTTATAATTTTCAATTATGTAGACTGTGGTATGGGTATAATAGAGTGGACTATTCCAGAGATGTTATAGCATTAATAATAACAGGTAACTTCAAAATAAAGGGTAAAAAGTATAAAGTGTGATAGAGATGAGAACCTTCAACATAGCAGATTCTTAACAGAATATCTTCAAACTACCTGACCAAAAGCGTCATTCAATGGAATTCACTCTGATCTTATCCTGGAACACACTTGAAATAAAATGCTCTTAACTCACCTAACAACTACTCTAACAACTTTGATTTGTATGCAAATTGAAGAAGAGTGTATTTCATTCAATGCATTTGTAACTTTGCCTATGATAAAAATGACATTGTAAAGGCTTGCTTCAGTGCTGTGTACTGTGGCTTTCACCCAGTGAAGCTAGCAAAGCTAATACCGAATCTACATACAGCTGTTTTTCCAAATGTAAGTGTGTCTTGTATCTGAAATGTCTGGTTACAACATAACGGGGGTATGAACTCTTACTTTAATTGTGTTAATTTTTTTATTTTCTTTTTTTAAAATGAGCAAATAATATTGAAGTCATTATTTCCTGATCACTTACCTCATTTTGATATGTATATTTTTGCCCCATACATGTGTAGCACCACTTATTGGCATGATCTATTGTATTTGTACCCGTGAGGAGTACATGAGGGTTTGTCTTTACGTTAGTAGGTAAATTCTTTCATTTGTTTGTATGTGGAATGGAGACTGGTAATTCTCATTAGCAAAAAACGACTCCAGAGGAACACTGGAAACCTTCATGGCATTTAACAAAAAAGTATTGTCAGGTATTGTGGTATTAGAAATCTTCTTAAGACACTAGATTGGTATAGGTGAAAGTATTCTTTTGTTGACTGTCTACTGTTGGAGAGCTGGACTTGTGACCGCTTACTGGGAGTAGAGGTAGGAGCATGTTGAGACAGGGCCTGTAACTATTGGAGATCACTGCCGTGCTTAATACTGGTATTGCTTGTAATTGCATATATTTTCACAGTTGTAAAGCCACTGTGGTATTGGCATATGGCTGATCACTCCTTTTTAGAGGTTTAAAGTTTGAAATACACAAAAGTACTTTGAAGGTAAAACATAAAAATATTACTAATTGTTAATAGGCCTTTTTCTTTCATTTTAGTCTGAAAACTGGATTCTTAAAGTGGAAACCAGATTATGACAGTGCAGCTACTGAGTATGGGAAGGCAGGTATGTATGGCTGTAAGTATGGGAACATGCTTTAAAGTTTCAAAATACTCTCTTAGTTTAATCTGAAATAACATTTTATGTGTTTTCAGGATGTTATTATGTAAGTAAAACTGTTGTGAAGACTAAAATTAAAAAAAGAAAAAAGGAAACCAAATCTTTGTGGTAGCCTTGTAAGATAAATTTGACATTATACTTGGAGAAATGGTATAGTTGTTTAAGGTTGAAAAAATTTTATTGTGACATCTACCGTGGATATTACTACATATTGTAAAACTAAAGCTTTCCTTTTTTCGCTTGTCCACCCCCAAATCCTATGACCTTGTCCAAAAACAAATATTCTGTTTTTAAAGCATTGCTTTTTCATCACCTTTTGAAGTATGTCTCAGCTGAGACTGGCTCAGTAAGGTAGAGAGATGCTGCCAATTTTTTTTAGCCATAGTAAAACTATTTTCCTCCTTCTTTTCTTTTGCAAGCATCACACTAAATATAAAATTCTTCCTTGTTATTTTTTCCCCCGCCATCTTAAATTCTTTCCTTCTTTCTGCTCATAGTAGTCTTTGGGGGCGCTCTTAACACAAGGCATTCTTCCTCATTCATTTAAGCCTGAACTTAAAAAAAATAAAAAAATAAATTGAAAGAGAAAGTTGTTGATAGCAGTTGAAAGTCACTGGAGCATTCTGAAATTAAAAAAAAAAAATTAAGTCCTGCTTGAATGTGTAATCTGTGTAACAGAGACACGTTTGCATCTTGAAGTAGTTGAGGAAGTTGTTATACGTATTGTTGGTGGTATACACTTATAACATGAAGTTTAAAATCAGAATAAAGCACCGTTTCTTATGTTTTAGAATCTTAAATGCTATACTGGTTTTGTATAACTTTTAATGGTTGAATATGTATACGTATGTATTCCCGCAGTCCTGTAACTAACATGTAGAATGTATGATATTCCAAAATTCAGCTAAATGCAGTACAAGTGATGTATAGGACTGAAGTGCGGTTGACAATAAATGTTTTTAATGGTAGCTAAGTGACTATCATAGGATTTTTTGGAAGAGCTTGTTAAAGTGTAACCACTCATCTAAAGAGTCTATTTGCTTCTCTTAGTGGCTAAATACTTGAGCAGAAGTGCTAAAAGAGGGAAAATAGCAAGCTGTAAATGAGAACTTTTTTTGCTTTCTTGCAGCTGTTGCTTTTAAGAATGCCAAGCAGTATGACCAGGCAAGGGAAGCCTGTTTACGGGAAGCCGAGGCACATGAAAACAATAAAGCGTATCTTTTCATTGATGGTTATTCTTTTTCCAATAAGTTGACTAGTTGCTGGGTAATGGGGATTGGTAGAATATGTATTTAATATATTTACATATTTCGTCAACCTAACAAAGTTCTTAAAGGACTCTTTCTGTGTGTAGTGAATGGGGAAAAACTTGGGGGGAAAAAAAACTGGTTTTTTTATAGAAAACTTGTTTTGAATAATACCTGGAGCAATAAGGTCCTGGCCAGTGCCTGAGAAGTCTAGGTGCTGCTGCAGAAATTATGTTTTTCTAAAACTCCTATGAACAGATATTATAAACTAAATCCTACTCTGGCATTATTGTGTTTGTAGTACCACTTAGTAATCGGGAACGCCTTTTAAATGGGCTCTTTCTGACTTTACGCACGCAGGTATTTTTGTTTATTCCATCCTTAGATCTATGTATTTTTGAAATCTTGTTTGCATACTTAGATTTGTCTTTATGAGATTCCTCTGTTTGAAACTAGTACTTGTATAAGTAGTTGTCCCCTAATTTATTAATGTACATTTATATTTTTATGGCTTTTGTCCTTGACTTTGATTCTGTTACCTCCAGTCTCTTCCATGCTGCTAAGTAAGTACAGACACACTGAGTGATCTGAAACAAGTTTTCCAAAATATGAAATATAATTTTGATCTCACTATAGCAAGTGATGTGGTTTAGGTTGTTTCACTATTTCAAAGTCAGTTTCATGAAAGTGTGGGCTACGAAAGTCTGAAAAACTGCAATAGCTATCTGAAGAAACTGGTAATCTTGACATCTTTCACTACCTTTTCATGTCAGTTGTTTTTTTTTTTCTTAAATAAGCTGTATGTTTGAAATTTTCTACTGTTGACCTTATTTCCAAATTTCTATAAAGAATACTTCAAAGTAAGCAAGTAGTGACTAACAATCCAAATGTTGCGAGTGGTTCAGATCTTGATAATAGATTTTTATGGGAGACAGGGGAAAGTGTAGTTGAAATACTTTATCGATGAAAGATAGTGTTACTCATGTATTGTCTCTCATTGAATAAAATATTAATGCTTTGAAGATGTGCAAGCTTCAGATATTAATGGTGACGTGATAGCTTATGCATGTTGCTGAATAGCAAGACACATGCTACAGCTTGTTGAAGTACACCATATCTAACTAAATCTTAACTTTCTCTCTGCAGAGCTTATGAACAAGCTGGCATGATGTTAAAGGTATTGACGAGTTTTTATCAAAACACTGTCTTTTATAGTGAAGAATGTTGTGCACTGGGTTGTTTCAAAATATATGTAAATGAATTGCACATTAGTGGTGGCCTAACTCACAGTCCCCATGAACATCCTCGCTAGTCTAGGGAAGATGCGTTGTAATTGCAGGGTTTTTTTTTTCTATAAAGAAAGAGAGGTGAGGCCTCATATCATAGGGTTTACTTCTGCTCTAAAATTCCACAGATTCATGCGTTACATGGGGAAGAAAGTAATTGTGGACTCAAATCAGGGTAGATTAAAGTCACAGAAATGTAAGGTCACGTTCTAGCTCTGTTACAGCTTCACAGTTGACCACATACTAGTAAGCTGATAATGATACTGACAATACTAATGATCCTGGTAATATCAGTAAAAGAACAACTCAGGAAAGAGGGGTGGGAGAATCAGGTTTTCTTATTGGGATAGGATTACGTTAATCTTTTTATTTCTATTAGGATCAGTAAAAATAAGTGTACCCAGCAATGTTTAGAAGCTGTACTGTGGCAAGACCATTTTGTTTTGCCTGCCTGTGCCAGTAGTACTTGTTTGATAGGCTGTTAGAATTGCATTCTTGGTTGAAGTATTTTATTCATGTGTGACAATTTTTTTTTTCCTACGTATTTCACATAGGGGTAGCATATATGTTATATAACCCTTAAATGCATATTTGCTAAATATTAGCTTGGCACTCCATTAACCTTGTGATACAACGCATATAGTATGAACTGTTGCCTAACCTTTCAGTAAGGTCTTGGTGACATCTTCAGACTTCATGCAGTAGGTTATTGTAAACCTCATGAACACTAAAATCTGCTGCTCTAGTTTGGCTGCTTATCAGAATCCCTAATAGAGCGCTTTTTGAGCATGTAAGGTTACTCAATTGTTGTGTAGATCACTGGGTGAAATTATTTGAGCTTTATTAAATCAGTGCATATTAAGGTTGCTATTTGCAAGTGACTTTTATGGGATTTGTCAACTTTCATTAGCTCCTCAAGTCTGGAAGTAAAAGTTAGAATCTTAATTCAGTGTTCAACCTTCTGGGAAGGTCAGTACATCTGTGGACTGCTGTTCAGATGCCCTCTAGCTACTTGTTAAATTAGACTACTGTTAACATTTATTTACTGCCTAATTGAAATCTGCATAAGAGGAGGACTAGTTGATCTGACTATATTATTGCAGGGTGGCTGCCTGTTTAATTACTTCCTTCTATGGTTAATCAAAAGAATATAAGGAGTTTGCTGAACTGAACTCTTGACTTGTTCCTTTACAAATACATGGTGACGCAGAAGGCATATTCCTACATATCTGTATTGCTATGTATGTTCTCTTATTTTGTCACCTTACAAGTCAAAACCTCTAAATACGGTATTACAACTAGCTTTCATTTGGTTCATTATGCACATGCAGGGTTCCTGACAGTGACATCCTTCAAATTCTGTCTTTGCAGGAGATGCAGCGACTTCCTGAAGCGGTTCCAGCTGATCGAGAAAGCCAGTATGATGTACCTAGAGAATGGAACACCAGACACAGCGGCTATTGCACTGGAACGGGCTGGGAAGTAAGTCTGTGGTACTTCTGGCTAGATTGCGTGCCTGGTGTTGGTATCACTCCGGGGTTTTTTTTTTCTGCTAGAAAAGGTTTTTACCTTCTGCTAGGTAGAAGATATTTTCATTTGATCTAAAGACAAATAATTTCTCTTTATTACAGGTTAATAGAAAACGTGAGCCCAGAGAAGGCTGTACAGCTCTATCAACAGGCAGCATCAGTGTTTGAAGTAAGTTTTACTCTTTTCCTTTTTTTCTTTCCCCAGTGAAGAAATTTACAATGCCAGAAAGTAAACTGACTTGAAGGAATTGGTGTTTAGAATCAGCTGTGAAGTAAAATCTAAGGTCGGGTTCTAAACTATTTTTCGTTCCTCTCACATCAGTGGCCAGGTAATGGAGCTGAAGGCTTCTTGTGCTGTAAAGAGGGAAATCATAAAAGTGAGGAGTTGATTTTCTTTGTCTGCATTTCTCTGTTTTGTACTTGACAGAATCTGAATTTCATATCTTATCTGTTTGCGTCTCTTATCAGGCAGTCTGGAGAGGGAACGAGTGTTGCAGCAGATCTGCACTATGTAGAGGAATTTTAAATAGGGGCTTTCCCCTTATCTACTGTCAGTCTGGGAGTTGCACGTCTTAACGTGAAGGATATATACAGGCAGATTTTACCAAGATAATAGAACAAATCTCACAGCCTTAACAACATTGAGTGGTGGTTGTTTGTGTGTGGTTTTGTTTTGGGGTTTGGTTTTTTTTTGGCATGCTGAAGATAAGGTTTGTGAATGTCTTCTCTGGCTGTAAGTTCATTTAAAATGTTCCTGCCGTCTATAGCTTTGCTGAGCTTCGTTGTTCCCTAATTTATTCTGATGCAGCCATTCATGTAACTGAGTTGTAGATCAGTAAATAAAATGAATATAAAAGCATCAGGCAAGTCTTTTGCCACATTTGAGAAGTAGATGCTCTCTATCCTCATTTGAGATAGCTGTATGGAAGACTATTGGGAAGAGGGCAGCAACCTTGACTAGTCAGTCCTTTATCTGGAAAGGCAGAAAGAATTTGAATTTCTTGAAGGCACTAAAAGAGAAGAGTTTGCTTGAAGCTCCACGGGAGCAGATGATTTGTGCTGCTCACAGGAGCAAATATGCCTTTTTGCCCCTGGCTTTGGCATATTTCTCTGTAGGAAGGAGGCAGTTGTCATGTTAGCAGCTTTGCACTGACATTGCTTTGCACTCTAGATCCATATGGGAGGGAGCTGGCTTTGGGACTGGGGTACCACAATACTCTTCATGTTTCCCTTGAATTTGTAGACTATGGTAGAAAAGTTCTTCAAGTGATAGACAACAGACTTAGATTAAGATCCAGTGGTCTTAATCTATGCAAATGAAATATGAATATGTGAAATTCTTTTTGTTCTTCTCTAGAATGAAGAACGTTTACGGCAAGCTTTAGAAATGCTAGGGAAGGCATCAAGACTTCTAGTCAGAGGACGCAGGTATAGCTTTATACCTATTTTTTCAAAATACGGTTTAATAGTGAATGTCACTGACTGTTGGGTTTATATGCTGTTACTCGGAGTTCTTCTCTGAGATGTGCTCAATACTAAGTTTCAGCTTCTATGGGAAGATATACCACACTACCACATTCATCCAGCAATTGCCTGTTTTGTGTTCTGCAATAGTAGAACATGCAGGTTGTAAAACTTTCTTTTGTGTTTACTGAAGAATAGCTAGAAAGGACGTACTCCAGTATTAATTAATTCTTTAGCTATTTCATAAAATTCTTCTTTCATCCAACACTGCTTTCTAGTAAGTTCTTGAAAGTCTTTTATAGCTGGGGAATATAAAACAGGGAATTAAGGGACTAACCTGAGGAAAGAAATCTGTTTGCATCAGCTTGATTGTGGACTTCTTAGAGTATGACTTTGAGTCTTACTTTAAATATGAGTCTCAACAGCAATTTCTTGATAGGTGCTGTCACAAAACTTGACCTATAGTTTAGCACAGACTTGCTTACCTGAGTTGTAAAGCTCCCTTAAGACCTTGTCTGAGTCTGTATTTCTAACTATATTTGAACAGTATGTCATGGTATAGTTGCAGTTAAAAAAAGGAAACTTACAAAGAAACTTGAAAATCTTTCAGTAAAAGAGCAAGTCAGCATATAGCTTCAGAACATCTGAAATATTTGGTTGCTCTACTGCTTTGTAGTTCATGTGCTGGATCATTTGTAGAAGTTTGGAACATAGTGATTAAGAGGGATATTCAAGCTAGAAACTTGTTTGTATGACTTATCATGATAGTTCATGAATATCAGATGTATTATAGCTTATATTAAAGAAAATACATAGTAACCTAATGACAGAAATCTGTTGGGGTATGTTATGAGGTTTTTGTCTTGTGTATTGTTAGGAAATGTGAGTGAATAAATACTTTGTTTTTGGGCTATGTGTATACAAAAAGAATTGTTGGCTAAAAATTTTTTTTAATCTACTCTATCAGTAAGTTCTACTGCTTATTTTCAATGATTTTTTTTTTTTTTTATTGAGGCAAACCTGCAGGTGAATTAGTTAAATGCCGCTGTTCTTTGCCACCTGTGAAGACTTAGTAGCTTCTGGTTCATTATGCTCATTTCCTGGTATTGATTACCATAATTGTTTTTTGGTTTTTAGGTTAGATGAGGCTGCATTGTCTCTGCAAAAGGAGAAAAGTATTTATAAGGAAATTGAAAATTATCCAACATGCTATAAGGTAAAAATTTAAGTGACACTTTCTGGTGCATTTTCAGTTTTTTCTGGGGGACTGATAAGGTGACAGCTGACCTCTGACTGAGAGTTTATACCTCTTGATTCAGGGATAAATTTATTGCTAAATAATCAGAATCTGCAGTATTGGGTTCATGTTTAACTGCCCTTTACTGTGCATTTTCACTAGTGTAATGCTGAAGACTGTAAATAACAGTATCTTACCAAAACTACGGAACTATAATGGTTTATGGATGAGCCTTCAAACTGATTTGAACAAACCTAGTCTTCTGTTTTGGAAGGTGAACTAATTTATCTTGAAACTGGAAGGGAGAGAAAAAAGAGAAGGCATGGGCATTTTCCTGTTGTATTTTTAATAGGATTGTCTTCTCATCTGCGTGAATCTAGAAGTTTCCAGCATTCTTTCTAGAATTACCTGCTTTTGAGTTCTGAATAAGAATTTTGCTCAGTTTGGGGGTCTGACCATTACAAACCACAAAAAGAGAAAAACATAAATGAAAGTAGGCCTTATTTGGTGCAACAAATGGTCACAATGTTACAGGAGCTAATCTATTTAATACCAGTTGAGGATCTGGCTTACAACTTTTTCTGTGTTGTTCTGACGCACTTGTTCCGGTAGCTTACAATCATTGCAGACTCTAATGATCTTTTCACGGTAAATATTAACAATCCAGCATCTTGCTTATAACTTACTGCTTGTTCCTCTAAAGAATCATCTGTGGGTTTCTTGTTTGTTTGTTTTCCAGAAAACTATTGCTCAAGTCTTGGTTCATCTTCACAGAAATGATTATGTTGCTGCAGAAAGATGTGTGAGGGAAAGCTATAGGTAAGTCTGCTTTACTGTTTTCTAATTTTAAGGTGAATATTTATTAATATAGATCTATTCTTATTAAAGAGGTTTGAAAACACTCTCTTTCAAGAAGTTTTAAGCCTGTACTTCTGCTGAATTACAGGAACAGTGTTCTCTAGTAGATAGCTGTTGGGAAATGTTTTTCACTCTTTACATATTTAGCTATAATTGCCATGGTGATACTTCTATGAACCAAAAAGAAAAGGTTAATTATAAAGGGATACTTGTATATGACAGGTAAAATGAGACAGAAATTAGAAGTTCTTCCAATGGTTTCCATGATAACAGCTGAATAGAATACTGTTATGGTTGGCATTCTTGCCTTATTGATGTCATGCAATGTTGTCTCTCTTTGGGTTTTTTCTTTTTTAAACATCGAACAAAGATGCATTAGTGCTTGTAAACAAATGTTCAGAATTAGAAGGGGTACTTTCTGGAAGTTGCTTACTGAATTTACTTTTTCCACTTCTTTTTGTCATGTCATGTGTTGAGGCCCTTTAAAAGTTGAAATTCTAACTTGTCATTACCATGTTTTATTACGATTTGAAGATAGAAATGTGGATTGTAGTCTCAAAATACACAACAGCAGTATCCACGAATAATGAATTAAACTGTCTGGTGTGATGACTGGATTGAGGGAAAGATTCATCTAAATATTTTTCTTAAAGAAAAATTCTTTGTTTGTAAATTGCTATGGTTAGGCTGAAGTAGGAGATCTTACCCTTGGGCCTGGATTTTAGTCATATGATGGAAGAGGAAAGGGAAATTTTCTGTTTTTTGTGTTCTTTAAACACTTGATTGAACTGAAAGATGATTAAGAAAGCAGGAACTAGTCAAGTTGAATACACTGAAATAAAGAAGGTATTCTTTGTACATTCAACGTTCTGCTATCAAAATCTGGGTTAGTATTTAAACCCTGGCTCCAGATACTTTCCCAGCAACTCTCTCCATTTCAGCTTTCGTTAGAACTTCAGTGACAAAATGTTGAGACTACATATTCTTGCTTAAACTACATTTTTAGGGAAATGACTTCAACATATGTGTAAGTTAAACTGACGCTTTATTTTTAGAAATAAGTTTTTAAGCTCCATCTTTAAATAGCTTGGTCATATTTTCCAAGTGTTCAATTTGTATTTCATATAGAAGTTTATTACAGAAAATTTTCTGTATGTGTAGTGGAAGAAAAGTTTATTGACTAGTCAGCAAAAATTGAAAAATGCCTTGGGACTGTGACTGTAGTCTATTTTCAACATGCAAATTAATACTGAGGAAAGTTAAAATTTATAGATACAACCCATGTACCTGGGGGAATCAAAGTGATTGGACAGTTTGATGGAATAAGCAGTTCATCAGTTTCTCATAAGCTGACTGCTCTTCTGATATTAATGAGCAACATTTAAAAATAGATAAGCGTCGAGTAGATGGCTGAAATATCTTATATGAACTTGGAATTTTCTCAAGTATACCAGGATTTAATGGAAGTGAAGACTGTGCTGCACTAGAGCAACTTTTAGAAGGGTATGACCAGCAAGATCAGGATCAAGTGTCTGAAGTCTGTAATTTACCACTCTTCAAGTACATGGACAATGATGTAAGTGGACAGTTCCTGTGTTTTTTTTTCATAATCTTCCTGCTTGGTCAGTTTCAGAGAGGTTTTTATGCAGAAGAGGAAAGTAGAGAGGGTGAGATTCATATATTTGTTGCAGCTTGCTTTTTTGCTCCTACCCTATGCTTGTGAACTTTTTTATTTTTTACTTTGCTGCCTGCCACTGTGAAATCCTTCATTGTTGTGACTTTCTAATGGTGGAAGGCTTAGATTTTAAAAAAAGCAGTTTGTAGTGGATCTGCTGAGTCTATCTAAAGAATGGGCCAAAACTAAGTTCTGTTTTGCCTTGTTTCTTTTGGGGATGGAACACTGCTGCAAATGCTTTAGCTTAGAAATACCATATAGCCAATGTGCTTGCATAATCCTTTCACAGTTGGAACGTGATGTCTACAGGATACTGTTGGTGGGTGGGTTTCCTAACAAGTTACCAATGCCACTTACTAATTAGAAAAAGAGATGTTTTTTTCTATTTGAAGAAAGTAGAAGCCATGAAGTAAAGGAGACATCCAGCCACCTACATTTTATGTGTTGTCTAGTTTTACCCAATCTTTACGATTTAACATAATAGTAAAGGTACTAATTTTATTGTAAAACATCTGTAATACTTCTTATATTAGCTGTTACTAGGTAGTGAGTGCCGACCTACCTGCTGAAGACACTTTTTACGTAAACCTTGAAAAACTGGAACTGTGATGTGGCCAAGTTATTTTATAATAAGCAGTCTATTATTTTATAATAGATCTTATTTCCCACTTATCAAAACATTCAAGATGGAAAAGCGAAGCAACGTTAGGCTTATTCTAGACCTGAAAAGTAGACTGTGAGGGCATCCTCAGTCAGTTTTCTGTACTGAGTGTGACTTGCTTTATGTGTGCTTTGTTAACCTCAGTGAATTCTGTGCAGTGTAATTTGAGTAAACTTTACTACTGCGAGGGTGTAGACATTAAACTTGTCTTGTTATTGGCAGTATGCCAAGCTAGGTCTTACTTTGGTGGTCCCGGGAGGTGGAATCAAGAAGAAATCGCCAAATGCTGCACAAGACAAAGCAAGAGGACCAGCCACGGTGGGGTCTCATGCTGAGGAGGAGGAGGATGAATATTCTGGTGGACTCTGCTAGTTGCAGACACATGTTGTCTTAAATACCTGACTTGTTTGTGATGTTGAGCATATCCAAAGGTACTAGATTTATCAGTACTTCATTGCAATCATGATATGGGAATGCTAATGTTAACTTGGCAGCTTTTGGGTACAAAATAGGAAAAAAAGCATGATTGTACCTATCATCTTGAAGCGCTTTTGGATTCCATTTCTTACCTGGTAGGAGTTTTCTCAAAGCCCTTCCTTCAGTTGATGGGAAAAATGAGAGAGAATTTTTTATTAAAAAGCATAGTTAGGAAGAAACCAAAATTTTGAACAGAAGCATTGGGGTAGGGAGAGGGGAACAAAATTCGAAATGCTGGATTTTGACAGCTGGCACTTATTAGTCCCTAGAACACACCTGTGATTACTTCCTAACCTAAGATCGTTCATCTTGACGTTTATCTCCTGTCTAACGTTATCTAAGGAAGACTGTACTAGATAGTGCTTATAGTAGTGCAAAAATCTCTGGTGGGAGCATTGTGTTTATTTTGAACATGATTTTACCCCACTAATGAATATTGTTTTAACATCTTATTTTTTGCAAGAACTATCTGCATGAATCTGGAAAATACTAGGTCAACTGGAAGCCATTTCGCGAGCTTAAAGAAGTACGTACGTACACACATACACCCCCCCCCCCCCCCAACCTTTCATCCCAAGAGCATTATTGACCTGAAGTCTGGAAAAACATGTTTGCGTAGTGTTTGTTGTGTATCTTGGGATGAAAGGATTGGACAGCCTTTCTTGTGTTAGTAGTCTTTCCTGAGAAGAGCATACCCTAATCAAAACAGAAACTGAAGGTAACAGATAATATGCATTGAAAATAAAGCTCTGCAGATAAGCTTTACCAAAAACCTAGGGTGAAATGTTTGTTAATGTGTTTGAGCTTTGTGAGTGCTTAAGGTAATCATTTCTAATCAATACTGTAGGCTGCAAAGGCATTTATTTCTTTTATATTTTCAAGACATAAAACAGCTGTCTTCTAGAAATGGCATTTTTCAAACTAGCTTAGAGTTTATCAACAACAACAAAGTCATATGAAACATCTACTGAGTAGTCTTCCAGAGTAACCAATTTTTAAAGTATCTTCTGCATTTTAATTTGATTTCAAGTTGTCATGTCTTGTGCAAGCTTCCATAATGTCTCAATTTTAAAATTTTATGCCTAAAAGTTGATGACCCTAGAAGTTGTACCTGCAGTCTGCTTTTCAGAAGAACTTAATCGAGATCTACACTAGAGTGACATCACTTGGTATCCACTTGGGATATGTGTATGTGTGGTATGTGATGCCCAGATTTCAATAAAAGTAGACGAACAGCATGACATAAGTGCCAGTGCAGTTTCTGCTATGTTAAGGAATTAATGTCTTCAAAAATGTCAGGCATGGCTAACTGAATTCAGAAGAAGGTAAATTTTTAGAAGGCTTATATTAACTTGCCTTGCAGTGGATAATACCGTTCTTAGTAGCATTGTGATGGGTGTGCCAGCTATGCTTAAGATTCCTGTGCAGGGTGAGTTTGATAACACTAACAGCTGCTTAGAAGTCACATTGTTCAATTACATGGGTGTTTGAAGAACTGTTTTTCCTTTGACTTATGTAATAATAGGCTTGGACTTTAAAGCTATTTGAAACTACACCTGTAGTTCCTTGTCTCCAAGATAGTTTCCATTTGTTATTAAGGAAGTTGCACTTCCACAAAATAGCTTAAATGAAATTTTAGGGAGTGAGTTGCTTTTTTTTTAATTTGTCATAATGATTAGGAATTTACAAGAAAAGTGGTTTTGAAGACCTTCCTATAACTTAACTTTTCTCACCATTGGAGTTCACTCCAGTTTACTCAACTTCTGCCTTCTGGATTTTTTCGGGAAGATGATGATGCACTTATGGGGAACTTTTAAAAATAATTTCTAAAAAAAACTGCACATTTAGAAGCACTAGGAACACTAATTTTTCTTCAAGCTTTTCCTGCTGCAGATGGCATCATTGTACTGCTTCTGAAATTAATTTTGTTCAGTAGTCGAAAGGAGCCTACTTCTTCTATGCAAACAGAAGAGATATCTGAGAAGACAACAGGCGTAAGGGAATAAAGGTTAGGAGTCTTGTGTCTGTCTTTGAAAGGACTTGCAGACTTCATTTAAACTGCCCTTATAACACTAGCAAACTCTTAAAAGAAACATTCGAGTCTATGCCGTCAGTTTTTCAACAAAGACTACTTCTCATGTAGCCAACAAAGAATTTAGATATGCAAGGCTGTCGTCTTCACTCCTCCAGCTTTTTTCTTTTTTTCCTGGCTATCGAACATCCCTGTGCCAAGAACAGAAAATCTGGGACAAAAATAATTGGTACTAAACACGTTAAGCTGCCATTGAACTGAAAGGGGCTTGTCTCAATCTTAGGAAAAGAATCTTAATATTTGATTGCGGTGTTGCTTCAAAGACCAAATCTGCAGAAATGGAAGTGGCTGAAAATGAAATAGTCTATTTTATATAACTTATTATTTTATTTTAGGTAATGAAAGTGAAATAGAATGTTAACTGCCTTTTAGTAAATGTTTAACTATAAAAAAAAAGCTATCTGGATATTATGTGTTAGTGTTGTTTCTATCTTTCAAAACAATTTGCACACTTTTGTAAATATTCATGTGGTTTAAATGAAAATATACCATTTAGAGCAGGAAAAAGTTCCCAAAAACATTGATGCCTGTAAGAAAAATAAAATGGATTTGTGCATGAAGACTGAGATGATCAATATAATGTATATGTAAAATCAGATGTTTTCTAAATTATCTCTAACTTAAGACTCACTATGCCCAAAGGCAGTATGAAGTGTTCAAGCAGTGTGAAACCTGTGCTTTTTGTTCCTTTTCCAAATCTGTGTGGTATATTAGAGTATGAAATGTTTTTGTATCAGCTCTACAGATGCTGCCTCTGTGAAGAAGAGGTTATGTGTTCCACCAGTATCAAAAATAAAACTTGAAACTTACATTTGTGCTTGCTTTCCCTGTTTTTGATCAGGTCGTGCTGAGCACTGCCACTTGAGAATTCTTCAGTGTTGTTCCATAATCTCAAGCAGATCTTATATGCAACTGTCTAAGATGCTTTTTGGCAAATATTTGCACATGTATTATGTAATCAAGGACCAAGTCTTGGGAACCTTCTGGTTCACTTTGGGTGTTGTCAGTGCTGTCTTTGCAGGTTGGTCATTAGAATTTGCTACAACCAATAGCATTTATCCTGTGTTTTTTTTTTTTTCTCACTAACATTTTGGTACCTTTTTGCTAGCTTTCATTATATCTTAAGCAGTTCTATCCACTCAGAATAGGAAAACATATGCATTTCACCTCTCATAACCTGTAACATCTTGGTGGTCCCTTATTGTCACTTGACTTCCCTGGAGGCTTATATTCAGAAAATAAATTTGTGTATCAGCTGGTTGTCAGTTAGACCTAAATTTATCTTCTACAACAAACTCTGAAAGAGAGAGAGAGAGACAGAGAGAACTGATACTCCATTCCTCTGATTTATTTAATCTTGGCTAATCAGTTACATGCAAGGCATAGTTACTGTTTTGAAAAACGACTGTGTTTCTGATGATTAGTAAGAACATATGGATTCTTAGATTGGCTGTGAAGGCTTGTTTCTGTAGTTGGACTGGTTAAATGTGTGGCTAACTCTTGAAATCTGGAAGAATGCCCCAGTATGCTGCATGGTTTAACTGAATGTGCTGAAATCCAGAAAGGGCTGGGAATGGTGGTGGGAGAGGCATAAACAGCTAAAAACAAAAACGAAACCCTTCTTGCACCGAAAGGAGTGCCTCAGCTACGAACATCGATCGTAACAAACGTATCGTGTGTGCTTCTAGTCTCTGCTAAAGGGTAAAAGGGCTGCCCCAAACAAAACGAGGGTCAGCTTAATGTGGAGGATCTCCTAGCCATTAGAACTTGAGCTTTAACTTCTAGTATAGATAAATATTTTCAAATGTTGCTGTCTGGAAGAGAAGCATATCTAAAAATGACTCGATAACTGTTTAGGTCTTAAACTTTGCTGATTTAGAACAGACGTCAGGGGGAATGTGTTTTGGGGAGAGTTGATTTGTTTTTAGAATGATTCATTCTTTATATGTCATTATTATACACTGCAGTGTTGGTGATCTGCATTTAAGCAGCTTTACACAATTTTCTCTCAAAATTTAGTTTATACTTCTGTTGCAGTTTTTTTCTAATTTTTTTAAAGGTTGGGATGTTACTTGTATCTGAGTGGAAACAGATTCAGTTAAAAGTACACAAAATAACGTTGCTTCTAGTCAGATTTCTTTATGGGCTGAATTCATGAAGAAAAAGTAATGAGATGAGGATCCTCGAGGTACTATCATTATGAATTTTAAATTACCATGTTGCTTAGATCACTTAACCAGATTTATCAATCACTTGATTCAGATTTTCAAAGCAATACTGGTCCATAAGATCACAAGCTTGTAATTCTTCCGTTAGCACTGATGGGGATTTATATGAAAATAACTTGATACTTGAAAAAATAACTTAATGACTGCTATGATGAGATGACTGGCTTTGTGGATGAGGGGAGAACAGAGGATATTGTTTATCTCTATTTCTGTAAGGCTTCTGATGCTGTCTCTCATGTCGTCATAGATAAACTGATGAGGAGCAGGCTAGATAAGTGGTCAGTGAGGTGGGCTGAAAACTGACTGAAATGTTTGGCTCAGAGGGTTGTGATCAGCAGCACAAAATCCAGCTCGAGGCCAGTTGCTAGTGGTGTCCACCAGGGGTCGATAATGGAGCCAATGTTGTTTAACATCTTCATTAATGGCCTGGATGATGGGACAGAGTGCACCCTCACAAGTTTGCAGATGATACAGAATTGGGAGGCGTGATTGATGAACCAGCTGGTTGTGTTGCTGCTTAAAGGAACCTCAACAAGCTGGAGAAATGGGCAGAGAGGAACTTATGATGGTCAACGGAGGGAAATGCTAAGTCCTGCACCTGGGAAGGAATGGCCCTATGCACCAGTACAGGCTGGGGGCCAACCGGCTGGAGAGCTGCTTTGCAGAGAAGAACCTGAGGGTCCTGGTGGACACCACGTTGACCATGAGAAAGCAATGTGCCTTTGGGGCAAAGATGGCCATCAGCATCCTGAGCTGTGTTAGGAAAAGCATTGCCTTTCCTAAGGGAAATGATCCTTCCTCTCTGCTCAGCACTGGTGAGACACACCTGGAGTGCGGAGCCCAGTGGTGGGCTCCCCAGGACAAGAGGGACATGGACCTTTGCAAGTCCAGCAAAGGGCCACAAAGATAAATTGAGGGATTGGAGCTTCTCTCATATGAGGAGCGAGCTGGGACTGTTCAGTCTGGAGAAGTGAAGGCTCAGGGGGATCTTATCTATGTATAAGTAGCTGATGGGGAGGGGAAGGGGGAAGCCTGAGCCAGCCTCTTCTCAGTGATGCCCAGTGGCAGGATGAGAGGCAGTGGGCACAGAATGACTCACAGGAAATCCCATCTGAGCATAAGGCAGCACTTCTTCATTGTGAGGGTGGTTGAACACTGGAACAGTTTGCCCAGCGAGGTTGTGGAGTCTCTGTCACTGAAGCCTGGAGATACTCGCTGTCCTGGGCAACCTGCTGCAGGTGACCCTGCTTGAAAAGACATACTGGATGAGGCAATCTCCAGAGGTCCCTTCCAACCACAGCTATTAGGTGACTTAGTTCTTTACTGTGTAATTAATTCAAAGTGGTAACAGTGATTTTGTTGATAATCAAGGCCTTCTTACTACAGCATGATTGTTGTTTAGATGTCTATAATATAGAGGCAAACATTTTAAATATATTTTATGAATTGCTTTAAAAATGTGTAATTCAAAATGACCTCTCAGCTTTGCATGGAGAGCAAACATAGTTTTGGTAAGTGATCTTTTCCAACCTTTCTTTTTTTTTAAGCTTCCAAGTACTAGTTACTTGCATGTAACTAGGTGTATGAGAAATGATGCTCCTCTTTATCCCTTTTCTTCTTCCCATTTTAAGGCAAATTTGATACTGCTTTTAAGAGGAGAAGAAAATATTCCAAGTTGTCAGTGAGCAAAATATCCTGGATTCATACTGTTGCAGCTTAGTAATTTGAGGTTTGAATCTCAGCTCTAGAAGTGTGACTCACCTCTCAGAAAACCAGTTTGCAATTCCCTTTTTCTTTTCTTCTTTTTCAGTGCCTATATTATTTTTAAATAATAACTTCAATTAAGAGTGCTATCAGGTAGTGTGAGATGCTGCTGTTCTTTATGTGTATCTTATTTAAATGTCTTGCTGAACTTTAAAACATCCTGCTTGTTGAAAATATCATTTCTGTTGGTCTTCTGTTGGCAGCAGGAACAAAGCTGGGCTTGGATGCCTCTGATGTCTTCAAATTTGGTGAAGAGATTGAGCGATTAGGTAGAGGTTAATGGCTCCATTACACCACTTCATTTGGGGAATACAGTGCTCTACTGGATCCGTTTTACAAAGCTTTTTTGTATTTACTCTAGTAGCAGTATATTTAGATCACAGTCTCAATGCAGTCAGTGCATCCTAGTCTGCATTAGTATTTAAGCTATCAGTAGCTTTAATATGGGAAATAAAAAGTGGAGGGAAAGTGTGGTATTTCTCATTAATATTGTGTCAGTTATGGTAGCTACATCAGAATGCTCATAAATAATCCTCATAGACTGAATGCTGAAGTGCCTGGGAGAAAAATCAAAGATGTTCTTTGTAAGTCAACTATTTCCGTTGTTGGAAAATGGGAATGCTTTTTGACTGGACTCTTTTACAGTAGCAGCTCTTACGAGTCATCAAACAGAAAAGGTCCTTGAAATCTGGAAACGTAGCTAGCTATTAGGACTACAGCTACTGTATACAGCATATACCTTTCCACAAATCTATTTGCTCTGATATGTTCTTGTGAAGTAGGGATAGTACTACAGCTAGCTCTTTTGATAACGTACAGATACCTTTCCTGTACAAGTAATGAAGCAGCATGTTGCTCTGAGAACTGAGGGACGAGAAATAGCCGACTGACCTGAAAATTTATGGGAGAGTGTCTTCCTGAACCCTCTTTAATATCAAGTGAGGAGAAAGATCATAGTGCACATATGTTTAGAAAGTTTAAGGATGTGCACTATACAACTGCTAGAGGACTTCATCACTAAAGAAAAATCACCTTTTCTGATGTATTAAAAAGCCAAACTTGCTGGAATACCTGAAGACTGAAGAATCTTTGGCACTAAGCTTCTCCAGTGTGATGCTAATCATCTCTTGGATGCTGAGAATAAGCAGTTGTGCAGACAGTAAAAACTAAGCTTTACTTGAAAAAAAATCTTTTTTCTCATCGTCTAGACTTGTAGTGAGTAGAGAACTTTTTCGGATGTATATAACAAAAAAGAAACACAACACCCTTTTTCCCCAAAAACAACTAGTAGCAATAGAATTGGAGCAAGCAGATGCAAATTCCCAGAGCAGGAGAGAACAACTTATGATCTGTGATTATTTGAGTTTTGTGAGAGCTGGAGCAGGAACATCAAGCTCTAAGGTAATGGTCAGTGGAGGTCAGCATCCTTGTAAAATAGACTCATTTCTTCCTGGTTTTGACACTTAGCACCTGTTGGAGGTGATGCATATGACTGCTGTGTCTAGTCATCCTCTAAAAAGCTGCCTGGTCCTTGTTTTAGAGGTGTTGAAGGTTCATTTTCATTACTCTTCCAATTTGACTCCCAGTCTATGTGTGGGGCAGTAGTATGGTCTCCAGCCTGGAATACAAGTAAGAGGCAGTTGAAGTCCGCTCTTACATTTGAAGAAAAAATGGCTGTTGATGGCTCATCTGATGATACTTCTAGCAGTAGCGGTAATCAAAGTGGCTATACTCAGACGTGCATGCTGCTGTGGTGTTCAATGCAGCAGAGCACAGTGTAGCGACCACTTCAGTGTGTAGTCTCTCTCCATCCAAGTAA